GGGTCAAGCTTGAAAAATTTCAGTGCTATTTCCCCTGCCACGAGCACGCGCGTGCACACCCGCCACAGATAGACAGACAGACAGAACGTGGGCCCTGGCCGGGCCGGGGACACACTCGGCCCTCCTCCCTTTGCATATGATTTGCCCCAAGACACTGGGCCAGAGGGGGACAGACAGTGTGGGGTCTGGTACCTCTGGCCCAGCCAGGCAACAGCGTGGACAGCTTTTGGACCCATCCCTCTCTACCTAACAGGAGAGCGCAGTTTCCTGCTTTAGTAAACACAGTATTTCAAATAAAACCAGCATGTCCTTTGATGATTCAGGACCTCGCAGCGTCTCAGCGTTTGAAAACCCCCGTTTTCATCCATGCACTGGATACCTCAACAGCTCCAGCCAAGGGCCTACATGGGCCAGGAGGTCATGTCAGCAACAGCCGGGTGGAAAGGCCTGGATTCTTTGAACACGCTTAGCTTGCATCATCCAAATACATAACATCCTTCACGGTTGCAAACGAGTGCGTTCTGTCCTGATTTCCCTTGAAACGCTCGTCTTTCCTTGAAACACAGTCTAACTCTGCGTTTCCCACTTTCGAAAGAGATGTGAGCTCAAGACATGTTTTCCTGGTCTTTTCATGAGTAACAGGAGACAGGAAAGCAACTCAGCTGATGATTAAGTCCAGCCTGTGGTCCCTCCCGATTCCACCGCTGTGATGCTAACAGCCTGTGTTTCTCAATCACTTTCTGTGAGTCAGGCACCATGTGATGCCCTCAATGTGCAATGTTTCCTTTAATCCTCCTAACAGCCCCATCAACTAGGCACCAATACTGTGCCTCTATAGAAACGGAGACACAGAAAGCCAATGCAGCTTGTGCCAAGTCACCTGGCCAGTCGGTGGCAGCCGAGACTCTGTAACCAGGCTGTCTATGTCCAGGGCTAGTGGCTACTGGAGACCAGGAGCCTTTACTATCTAAGAGGGGAAGAGTCCGGACCCCCATTCAGAGCTGGGCACCAGACACGGCGGGGGATGGGGGTGCGAAATCAAACCCCAAACAGCCAGAGTAGCCACGCGGGGCGGGTTCTGCCCCAGGATGTCCCCCAAGGTTTCAGAGCCTCTCAGGGGCTTCAACTTGGGCACGCCTGACCTTTCGGGAAGGCTCCTAAGTGTGCTCACCCTTCCTGGGATGGGAGAAGTGGATTTGGAAGCTACAGATGGAGCAGCAGATGGGAAGTGAAAGCCTATCCGAGTCGCCCAGGATAAAACCATTCATCTGCAAAATTCATATGTTTTTGTGTTGGGCGACTTCACGAAAACAACAGCAAGAGGAACCAGCAGTGCTTGATGCATGAAGCGCCCCTGGCCATCGGGCTTGTGAAACGCAGGGGGCAGAAGGACTGGGGGGGGGGCACAGACATGAGAGCAGTGAGAGGGACAGGGAGAGGAAGGCAGGCCGGCAGAGATGCAGAGAGGCCTGGAGCCTAAAGCTAAAACACCTAGACATAGGAGGGCTCTCTTCTCTGAACCCCAGAACAGGTTGGGCACATGGTCTCAGAAAGAATTTCTGGGTCTCCTGGGTATGGCTCAGGAATTAACAGCTGACATTTACTGAGCACTTCTTAAGTGCCGAACGCTCTGCTAGGTTGTACCATCACATCCAGATTCCACAAAGATTGAATTTACTTGCTGATGGTCGTGTGCTAGTGAAGTGGCAGGACTCGGACTCAAACCGTGGCCATCTGCTGAGAGCCGGAGCACGCATCCACTTGGATGCTGAAATGCTAGCAATGCAGACACCCTTGCAATGCTGACTTGGTTAAGCGGCCATGGTCATGGCTTCCAACTGCAAATCAATATAGGGCCTCTCGGGGGCAGCCTCGAGACCCGACGTGAATGTCCTGAAGGGTCATAGGCCTTGGGCACCTCTCCCCGACCTCCATAGACCTTGGGCACCTCTACTCGACCTCAAGGGACCTCGGGCTAAGTTCCACCATCTGATGACCTAGTCTAAAATAACCTCTGGGGCCTCCACTGGAGGTCTAGAGGGAAAAGAGTGTGGGAATCGTGACCATAGCTTGTCAGACTTGGGGACAATAGGTGACCTTCTTTCATGACATTCCCTGATGGCAAGTGGTGCAATCACTACCCTGTCCAGGCATGGGTGGCTGTGCTCTCTAGGTGGCCTGAGGCCATCCCACCCCTCTCAGCCAGCTGACATCCCCAAGGGGCCAACTTCAAGCACAAAGAACACCAACCTTGGAACCAGACAGAACTGATTCTAGTCCCCACTGTGCCACGGGCTCCTTACATGACCTTGGGCCTCAGTCTGCCCGTCTGTAAAACAGGTTTGCTTTGAGGGTTGAAGGAAGTACCACCCAGGCTAGCTGCTACACTCAGCATTTTGGGATATTTCTGAACTCGGTCCTTCCTTGGGAGATGGTGGGCGAATGCTCTAACCCACCCTTGCCCTGTACTTCTGTACACTAACCTCTCCTCATTTTTTATTATCCGCTATCCATGTTTAACTTTCTCGAATGCAGCTAGCTCGTCTCTGACCCGAGTCTTGTGCCGGCTGTTCTCTCTCTCAGGAACTGGAACGCTGTCGGCTAGAGGTGATTTTGCCCCATTGGGGAGATAACATCTGGAGATCTTTGTGGGTGTCACAAGTGACTGGAGGTGGAGTGCTACTGGCATCTAGGGGGAGCAGAGAACAGGGACGCTGCTAAACACCCTACAATGCACGGGACGCCCCCGTGGCACACACGATCCAGCCCAACGTGTCACTCGTGCCCAGGCTGGGGACTCCGAGCCTAGAACGACCTCGTTTTCATGGGCCTGGCAATCCCTCCTTATCCTTCTCAACCCCAAACTGCGTCGTCAGAGGCCTTTCCGACCTCCTGATTACGCCCTTCTCGCACTCGCAGCGTCTTTCTTTCTTTATAGCCCTTTCCCACACTGCACGATGCTCTCTTGCACGATTATCTAATTCCATCTTCCCAAGTAGGATACCGCCGGATAGGGTCTGGGCGGCTTTCGTTCACTAAATGCCCAAATGCTGCCTAGCACTGTAATTGCTTAATAAATGTTTGTGGGATGAATGTTTGAATATTGAATTTGTAAATAAGTAAAAATCTGCCAGCGGTGCTTCAAAATCACACCCTTTTATCCCTGCTGTTCCCACAAACAAAAGAAACAGGTATCTTTCTAAACCCCGACATCTTTCTCAGGTTCGAGGGTGCCAGGTGTATCTTGCCTACAATGAGCAAAAACTGTGCCTGCCCCGGATCCCCTCCAGAGTCCAGGGTCTCCTAGGAGACAGTGGGATGCCACCAAGCCCAGGATGCGGCCAAGCCCCAGAAACCAGTTGTGAAGCAGACGGAAACCGTTTCCGGCTTTACACAGAGGCCGTCCCTCCATGCCTGTCCTTCATTTAGATCCTGATTCAAAACCCAAACTCCTGGGAACACGTGGCCTCGATATTTGATGACATTAGGGATGCCTGTTAATATTTTAGGTGTCACAATCATATTGATGTTACGTTCAAAGAGAAATGAATACTGAAATATTTACAGACACCATTTTATGATGTCTTGGAGATGCTTCACTGGGGTTGGGGGAAGAGCTGAGAGCAGAGAAGGTACGAGGCTGCCATGAATTGATCACAGTTCAAACTGGGTGATGTTGACGGCAGGGGGTGGGGGAGCTGTCATTATCCTATTCTCGGTACTCTTGTTCATGTTTGAAAACCGCCCTGATAAAAGCGTTGCTTTGTTTGTTTGTTTTTTAAGGTGCTTTTATCCAGCTCTTCTGGGAATATTGTACGCAACGTCCGCATGCCATCAGGGAAGGGACAGACTCTCCTTCACCGCATCCTTTCAGCCTTCTCGGTAAATCGGGGTGGAAGGCATGGTCAGGCAAAGAGGTGCCTCCTTGATGGGAACCACAGTCCATGCTCTTGCACTCTCCTTCCTTTACAAGATCGCTAGAGGGGTTTTCTTCGCTTATGGTCTGCTTGAAAGAGCAGACCAGTATTTGTGCAAAGCAACAGTCCCTCCTTGTGGCATCTCCGCCACCTCGGGGCTGCTGGCTGCTCTCCCAGCCCTAAACCACTGAGCGCCAAACGGCTGCAGGCCCAGAGTGGGCAGACCCCCGAGACAAGGCTCACAACCAGTGGTTTCACGTGAAACCTCCCAGTTTTAAAATGGAGGCAATCAACCCATTTGCTAAAATTTGACAGGAGCCAAAACACACAAAACACCCATAGTCCTCAAGTGGACAAAGACACCTGCCTGTGGGTGATCCTGCCTGGGCTGTCCGACCCGACCCCCACCTTCCTCCACTCTGCCCCTTTCAGTAGAACTCCACGCCACACCTTGTCCTTCCTCCGCCTCGAAACAAGCCAGTGGTTCCCATCTTGCTTCGCGTAACAGCCAAGTTCTAGAGTCTGCATGATCTCGCCCTGTTTCCTCGCCGACCTTCTGTCTTTTACTGCTGTCCGCCCCGCGGTTCCTCCCCCACCTCAGGGCTCACCCCCCGTCTTCCCACTGCCTGGACCTCGTCCCCTGCCTGCCTGACTCCCTCCTCCTCCCTCCTCCACAAGGACGCTCCTGCCACTGTCGTTAAAATGACACCTCTCCCCCGCGTCTTCTCTCTGCTTTGCTTTCCCCATGTACCATTTGGCTCATCGTGTTTGTATCTGCCTCCCCCACTTGGATGGAAGTGCCTTGTGGGCAGGGCTTTCGGTCTCCAGTGTTTCCTCAAACAGAACTGGGAAAACGGCGCACCCAATAAATGTCTGCTGAATGAATGAACGAACGAATGCACGAAAGACTGTCGGGTGCAAGGCGGATCCTATGCTGAGAGATCTGTCGAGAGGGGGCAGAAGCCCTCCAGGGCGCCTCACTCAGGCGGAACCGCCCCGGCCTCTGCTGGCGCAGCTGTGACCAGGGGAGCGAGTGGAAGCGTGGCCTCGGCGCAGGCCGGCGTGGGGCCGCGGCTGCCTTACCTGATGGGGTAGTCAGCGGCGCTGAGGTTGATGAAGAAGTCCCAGGGCCAGTCGGCCATCTCCAGGAGGTCCCGCATGCTCTGCAGGTATGTGGACAGGAGGCTGGCGCCCCCCCAGATGGTGGCCATCCTCCAGGGGGTGACACGGACATTGTCATACTGCCTGGCGAACTGGAGCACTTGTCGATGCAGGTAATTGGAGCGCTTTTTCCAGGAGAGAAAGGGTGACAGTCAGCAGCCCAGAAGACACCAGCCCTGCCCCTTGTCCCCGCTCTGCCTTTTCCCTTCCAGGTGACAGGAATTCTGAACTTGGCCACGTGACTGGTTCAGGTCTGGGGCGCCTGTCCGCATCACTATTCAAAACTTTGTTATTTGTATCATTTCCTTTTAGCAATTTGCAATGCAGAGTACCTGGCCACGCCTCTGAGCTACTGGTTCACCGGGAGCCTAGGTCTCCGCATTTTTATACAAGACTGATGTGTGCCGGCTGAGGACAACAAGCTAAGAAACATGGCTGTGTCTCCATCTGACGGGTATTGTGAGGGGTGGGGTTTCTCCAGCACCCTCTTGCAGGCCGGCTAGCAGCAGACCTTTCAGATCAGGCGTCCCTTGGCCTCCTAAGTATATAATCAGATCACGTCAGCAGACCGACAGAAACCTTTGGGACAAGACAGCTCAGGGGTCAGCAGGCCTGCTGCAGGGTTTGGTAAATGAAGGTTTAGTGGAACAGCCACACACATGCACATATGTATTTTTTTTTTATGGCTGCTTTCACACAACAGAGAGGGTGCGGCCTTTAAGCCTAATATATGTACTAGCTGGTCCTTTGTAGAGAAAGCGTGCCCATCCCTGGGGTAGCTGCCCTCAAAAAGTGGCAGGCACTGCATTGGGCAGTGGGGCAGTGAGGAAAAGAGGTAAGGAAAACACGTTTATGGAGAGAGTCTAAAGTCACAGCTGGGAACTCTGAAACTGACACACACACAGACACACACAGACACACACACACACACACACACACACACACAGAGAGAGAGACAGAGACAGACAGACACACACACACACACACACACACACACACACAGCTATTCAGCCAAGGAGTGTCCCCTGCTAGGGGACAGGCTTGCAGGGGGGCAGGCATCCCCACAGGAAGGGCTGGCCGTGCACGTGGAGGGCGTCCTGACCTTGTCCACGTGGATGTAGTAGAAGTGGTCCTTGTGGTAGATGGCCTTGAACATGCGCTGCAGCTGACGCGAGGCCCGGCCGTGGACCACCAGGACGAAGGCGATTCTCACCGGGTTGGCCAGCATATACTCCACCGAGTCCTCGTCCCACTGCACGTTCTTGGTGGTTTTGCCTGGGGAGAACCCGAGAGACCACAAGTGGGGTGAGGCTCGGCGGTTCCTCTGGGGCTGCAGCTCCTCTGATGCTCCCTCTGGGGGGCTACCAGGAGCGGGGGGCACAGTAACCAAACTCCACTTAAGCATGAATGTCCTGGACCCTATGCTGAGCTGGTGCCACAGGAACTGGGGACCCCGAGGTGCTTAAGTCACGGTTTCCATCCCCAGAGGAGCTTAAAAAAGCAGATGGATGTGTGAGCACATATTAAACTACGAAGCCAGAGGAAATGAGAGGCATAAGAGATGTGTCTCTGAGCCCTGGAGGAAGGAGAAGCTAATTCTGAGTTAGAAATGCAAGATGCTGTGCTCGCCTGTCCAGACTCTCCTCTCCGTCCTCCTCCTAAGAGCGTCAATTTAAAAACAAAACAAACAAAAAAACGTGGGGAGAACAGATAACATGAGATCTACCCTCTTAGCAAAATTTGAAGCGTCCAGTACTATTGGTGGTAGACCCAAAGTTGCACGAAGATCTCTGCGACTCTTTCATCTCGCATAAGGAAGATGTGTCACCCGATATCTTGGGGAGATCTCCCCCATCCTCCATTCTCAGTCCACGTGGACAGGGAGGGTCTCCCTCCGTTATCAATATCAGGGGCGGTCACAGAGCTTTGGCCCGGGCAATTAGAACACTGACTCTCCCTGCCCGCCATTTGTGTGGCTCAGAGGTACATGTGTGACCCTCCCAAGCTAATGAGCCAAGAAAACAGAATTCTAGACTTTTGTTGGAACAACTAGATAGGGTGTTCTTTTCCTGGTATACGTGAAGCTGGAAGCCTCTAACAGCCCTTTGTCCCCACATGGAGACACAGAGAAAGCACTGCCAAGTGACAGAGAGGGTCAGGCTCCTACGGAACCCGCCTGACTCCTAGATCAGCCCAGCGAGAGGTCAGCCACCGCTCGTCCCCATTTCTCTTAAAGGCCCAGATCCACCTGGCGCTTCGTCTTTTATCCCAGAAGCAGCCTCACAGCCTCCTTGCCCCTCCATTCCCGTATGCTCCAAGGCCTGGTTTCCAGAAAAAGCACAGCTTCTTGGTTTCACTCCCTACAATTCCCACAAGCGAGCGCCTGGCTTTCCTCAGCCAGACTGCCTTGGAGTCCAACATTGCTTCTCGTGGGTTCTACGTTTATGGGTCCAGAACTCGGTCAGCGGGGAGGCGGGAGCTAGTTGCAGGTGTCCCAGATGTCATCCAGGAAAGCTCACACCTGGGAGTGTTTAGCCAGGAGGTCAGGAGATGGGGAACCTGTCAGCTGTCACCAGGAAGCCGAACGGCCGCCAAACGCACAAGGCGCCTTCTATGGTGTCCCAGAGGACAGGATGAGACTACCGGGGCTAGCGTCCAGTCCCACGCACAGCCCCCACAGCCCCCACGAGCCTTCTGCACGCCTCTGTGCCCTGACAGCCCTGCTATCTACCTCGCTATTCACCTTGAGCAAGCTCGTTTCTGCCTCAGGACCTTTTCTCGCGGGCCATTCTTGCTACCTGGAACACCCTCTCCTTAGATCTTTGCCGGGCTGCATCCGCTTGTCCTGAGCTCACAGCTCAATCAAAGCCCACCTTGTCCCCCGCCACCCACGTCACTCTCTTCATCCACCCTCTTTCAGTTTTCAGCACAGCTTTTAACGCCATCTGAAACTGTTTATCCGTTTACTTGTTTGTTGTTTGACTACCCCATAGAACATAAACTCCGAGAGATGAGGGGCTATTTCAGGCGTGTTTGTCACTGAGTACATCACACTACAGCGATATCTGGCACACACGCGGCTCTTGGTGGGGAAACAGAGCTACAGGATAGCACATTTTGGTCCAGCACCATAATAATACATTTGATTGAGCACTGACCTGCCCTCACCATCCAGTTTTTCACTTAATCCTTGTAACAAGCCTTCAAGATAGTGCTTTTTTTGGTGACAAATGTTAAAATTTTATTGGGCATGTTTTAAAGTAAATAGGTATTCCAGGGAGAAAAAGCAGATCATCTATGAACTGTACCTCATAAGACTATCCAATATTATAATTGAAATAGATTGTTTCACATTTTTTTAAAGATTTTTATTAAAATATAGTTAACTTACAATATTGTATTAGTTTCAGGAGTACACCACAGTTATTCAACATTTATATACCGAAAGAAATGATCACCATGATAAGTCCAGCAACCACCTGACACCATCCTAAGCTACCACAATAACAACAGAGTGCTTTTATCTCCATTTTGCAAATGAGGAAACCCTGACAGCTTAGAGGCGCCAAGGAATTTATTTGTTCAAGGTCACACTACTTTGAATAGTTCAGCTAAGATTCAAACCCAGCTCTGCTTCCAAAGCCTATGTCCTTACCCACTAATATACACTACATTACCATACCCAGAATTTTAAGAAGTCTGTCACAGTTCTGACTGTTAGTTAGGGAAATAACTTGTAAGTGGGTTATTGCATGTCGCTAGGCATGTGTTTGAGGATCATCAGAGGTTTTCGCACAGAGGATTTCTGTATCATATAGGAAGCTGACTCTAGTGGCCAATAAGGTCACATCTTTCCATCTTTCCATCCATCCATCCATCCATCCATCCATCCATCCAAATCCAACTACCCATCCACCAAACCATTTGACTAGCCATATTTAGCAAAGCACTCAAAAGACTATCAACCAAAAAACCAACCAACCATCCATCCATCCATCGATCCATCCAACCATCCCATCCATCCATTCATCCATCCAAATCCAACTACCCATCCACCAAACCATTTGACTAGCCATATTTAGCAAAGCACTCAAAAGACTATCAACCAAAAAACCAACCAACCATCCATCCATCCATCGATCCATCCAACCATCCAACCCATCCATTCATCCATCCAAATCCAACTACCCATCCACCAAACCATTTGACTAGCCATTTAGCAAAACACTCAAAAGACTTATCACCCAAAAAACCAACCATCCATCCATCCATCCATCATCCATCCATTCAACCATCCATCCATTCATCCATCCAAATCCAACTACCCATCCACCAAACCATTTGACTAGCCATTTAGCAAAGCATTCAACAGACTATCATCCAAGAAACCAATCATCCATTCATCCATCCATCCAGCCACCCATCACCTTTAAAACTAACCATCCATCCACCCATCTACTTACCCATCATCCTCGAAGCAAATCATCCATGCATCCACTCTTCCAACCATCTAACTATCAACTCATCGAGCCATGCAATATTAACTTAGCTTATACTCCATGCCGAGTGCTATGCTATGGACCTGAAAAATAAAATCTGGGGGGGAAAAATCCTTGCTTTTGAGGAGCTCTCAGCCGATTGAGGAAAACAGAAGACAATGCTTAATTGTTTTATAACAGAAGTGTGTTCAGAATGCTCCTAGAGGGTGGGTAAGGCATGAGCAATCTGCCTGCAGGGAACAGAGGAGACCTCAGAGAGTTCAGCCCAAAGCTTCCGAGCCCATTTCTTAAAACTCTCCCGATGAGTGCAATGTCTTTGGCTCCTCGGCTGTTCAATAGGTAGCTGTGATTCTGGGGGTAACTGTCCTCTTGGCTCTGGTTGAACACAGATGGAGCAGCAACCAGAGAGTTCTCCTAACCACACTCTAATCTTCACTCCAAATCAATCACAAATACACTGGGCTTTCCTGGTGATCATATGGGGATGAGGTCTGCCTAGAGGGATCATGTCCCTTGAAACATTCATACAACAATCCAGCCAACCATCCATCCATCCATCCATTATCCATCCATCATCCATCCATCTGCCCACCTATCTATCCATCCATCCATCCATCCATCATCCATTCAACTAACCAAGAAGCATCCTTAAAACCTCCCATTTACTAGCCCTGGACCAAGCCTGGAGGACACAGACATGCAGGACATGAGCCTGTTTCACAAATGGATGATAAATGGATTAAGGAGTATGAGAATCCAACGTAAAAAGATAACAGAGAAAAGCTTACACAGTAATACCTTGGTTTGCGAGCATAATTCATTCCAGAAACAAGGTACTCGTATTGCAAGACATTGCTCATTTACCAAGTTAAAATGTATTAGAAATGTTTGCTCGTCTTGCAGAACACTCGCAAACCACATTACTCGCAATCCAAGGTTTTACTGTATTCTCTTCCCACAAACGCGGCCCAGAGGCAGTGCACCCACCTTAGCCACGCTGGCCACGACCTCTCCTTGCCTCCCAGGGACACTCTTTATCAAACAAAGGAAGGGATGCTTCAAAGCAACGGCTACTTGAGCCACTTTTTTCCACCTGAATTTCACTGGGTGATTTTTCAAAGGTCTAAACGTGGCCCACGACACTCTATTTCCTAGGAAGTCCCATCTGTAGGGGCTCCCACTGAACCCAGGTAATACCACTCATCCCTGCCCAGGGTCCCTGGGTAACAACCATCTGGATTCTTAGCAATTGAAATGATGGACCTTTGGGATCAGCCTGTGCTCTCCAGATGTGATGTCTCTTGCTGTGATTGGTGAATGAGTGAATGAATGAATGCATTCTGGAAAAGAGCGGCTGCCGTGGTCCAGAGGAGCTGACATCTCCTGAGGTCCTGCTACACATCAGCGCTGTGTTGGGGGTTCTGGGAGGAATGCCACATCATGCTCTGAGGCTCAGAGAGGTCAGCACGTTATCTCCCAGTCACACAGCGAGTGAGGACAGAGGTGGGCGTGGAAGCTGCAAGTGGCTGAGCTCCAAGTCCGCCCTACTATCTCCACTGCGCTCTGCTGAAGCAGAGAGCAGGGGGCTGGGAGGGTGGGCGTGGAGATTCTGTGATCTCTAAAGGGACTTGTGCACCAGTGTCGAGGAAAGCCTTGTGTAGCTTCTCTTTGTGGTTTTAGAATGCAGAGGAGCTTCACAGATGGAAAGACACAGACAGGCTCCCAGAGAAGGGGAGGGAGCACTGACTGGGAATCAAACACGCTCACTCCAGCACT